GGTGGGACACCACGTGCACCTTCACCTTGAGCAAGCTAGCGGACATGGGGGGGGAGGCGCAGCTCATGCTGGCGCTGGGCCGGGAGGAGGCAACGAGGCGGCTGCAGCAGCATCGGGAGGAGTGGGCGGGGGAGGGGGACTTTGAGTGGATGGCGAAGCAGGGGGTGAACGCTGTGAGGATACCGGTCGGCTGGTGGGTGGCTGTGGACCCGACCCCAGAGGAGTTTGTGGAAGGGGCTTTGGAATTACTGGATAAGGTGGGTCTGTCTGACGCAGTTGAAGGGTGTGCGGCTTTAGGGTAAGCCAGAGTGGGCGGGGGAGGGGGACTTTGAGTGGATGGCGAAGCAGGGGGTGAAAGCTGTGCAGATACCGGTGGGGTGGTGGGTGGCTGTGGACTGAACCCGACACCTGGGGAATTTGTGGAAGGGGCTCTGGAGCTGCTGGACAAGGTGGGTTATGGGGGTCCTGTTAAGACGAGGCAGGGGGTGAATGCTCTGAGGGCCCCTGTGGGGTGGTGGGTGGCTGTGGATCCTCATCCAGAGGAGTTCGTGGAAGGGGCTCTGGAGCTGCTGGACACGGTGGGTGTGAGGCAGGTGAAGGGTGTGTGGCTTTAGGGTAAGCCAGAGTGGGTGGGTGGGGGGGGATATGGCGAAGCAGGGGGTGAATGCTGTGAGGATACTGGTCGGGTGGTGGGTGGCTGTGGATCCTACTCCTGAGGATTTCGTGGAAGTTGCTCTGGAGCTCCTAGATAAGGTGGGTACATGATTTCAGGTGGCGTTGCTCCAAGCTGAAACACACCCGATGCCGATAATGTTGGTAGAGTTCGTACAATTGGTACAAGGGGGAGCTCTGGTACTGTTGAGTAGAGTAAGACTCGTGAGCTGAGCGACTGAATGTGGGTGTGACACAGGCACACAGCCAACACAGGCACACAGCCAACACAGGCACACAGGCACACAGCCAACACAGGCACACAGCCAACACAGGCACACAGGCACACAGCCAACACAGGCACACAGCCAACACAGGCACACAGGCACACAGCCAACACAGGCACACAGGCACACAGCCATGTAGGGGGGCGTATGCTGGTGGTGAGTATGTGGGTGAGTCAGCCTCCAGGGGGCGTAGCTACAAGTGAGCATGACTGTGGGGTGAGTCAGACAGAGTGGGCGGTGGCAGAGCAGAGGTGGGGTATTTGAATCTGTTGTTGCTGGACTGAGCGCATGCACATGGCATCCGTGTTATGGTCCTCCCACGTGCAGCCCTGAGTGCGTCCCTTGGGGGAACTGGCGATTCTTGTCTCTCTCCTGCTCTTTTTTCACCTGCAGGCTATGGACTGGGTGCACACACACAGCATCCGCGTTATAGTGTGCCTGCCTGCCTGCATGCAGCCTTGAGTAACATGCTGTCCTCAACTCCCACCTGTTCTTTCACTGCCTGCAGGCTATGGACTGGGCGCACACACACAGCATCCGCGTTATAGTGTGCCTGCATGCTGCCCCCGGGTCCCAGAACGGGTGGGAGCACAGTGCGAGCCGCGACGGCATCCCCATGTGGGGCAAGCCCAGGACACCCTTTATGGATGAGACAGTTGACGCCATCCGCTTCCTTGTGCAGCGGTGAGCTAGGGATGATGGAAGGGTGTAGAGAGTGGTGGAGCGGTGAGGAGAGTGGTGGAGTGTTGTCGAGAGTGGTGGAGCGGTGTTGTGAGTTCCGTACGGAGCTGATGGTGAACAATGGGCCAAGCCCCGGACTCTGTTCATAGATGAGACGGTCGACACCATCCGCTTCTTATGGATGAGACAGTGGACGCCACCCGCTTGTTAGTGCAGTGGTGAGCAGAGAAGGTTGGGGGGGTAGTGGCACTGGGGCTTGGCTTGGGGTGTGGGGATTGCCATAGGCTGTTCACAGTGCAAGTTGCGACAGCATCCCCATGGGGGCAAGTTTGGGACGGTGGGACCCCCGATCATGGATGAGACAGTTGTTGCCACCCGCTTCCTCGGGATGGTGACAATGGCAGGCAGTAGAGGAGTTGAGAGGGGTGAAGAGAGGTGTAGAGGGGTAGAGAGAGTGAGGCATTAGCCCTGGAAGGTGCAATCAATAGCTTGGGCCTGGCACAAGAGCCTGAATTCTCCATTCTCCTCCTTCACTCCATTCTATCCATTCTCACCACTCTCCATGCTCCCCGCTCCCTCCATTCTTCCCTCCATTCTTCCCTCCCTTCTATACCAGCTAGCCTTATGAGCGGTGCTATGCGGTGCTGAAGGGTTATCCTATCTGCTCCTCTCTCTCCATCATCCTCTCTGTCGGGACTGCCCTCAGCTGTTACTTCCCCCTTCCAGCTGTGCGTCCCATCCAGCCTTTGCCGGCCTGGAGCCAATCAAAGAGCCAAGGGCAGATGCAGTGTCGTTTGATGACCTGGCTCATCACTTCTATGAGCGGTGCTATGCGATGCTGATGGGTTTCGTACCCCCTTCTTTCTTTGTCCTCCACTCCCCCCACCTAGCTATGCGTCCCATCCAGCCTTTGCCGGCCTAGAGCCAATCAACGAGCCAAGGGCAGACGCAGTGTCGTTTGATGACCTGGCTCGCTACTACGAGCGGTGCTATGCGGTGCTGAGGGAGCATTCGCCTTCCGCGTACTTCGTCATATCTGGGAGAATTTTTGCCAATGAGAGAGAGTGGGACGACTTCATGACAAGTGAGTGTGTGTGTGTGTTGAGTGTGAGGGGTATGGTACTATGAGCGGTGCTACGCGGTGCTAAGGGAGGGAGCATTCACCTTCCACATACTTTGTCCTTTCTGGGAGAATTTTTGCCAATGAGAGAGAGTGGGACGACTTCATGACAAGTGAGTGTGTGTGTGTGTTGAGTGTGAGGGGTATGGTACTATGAGCGGTGCTACGCGGTGCTAAGGGAGGGAGCATTCGCCTTCCACATACTTTGTCCTTTCTGGGAGAATTTTTGCCAATGAGAGAGAGTGGGACGACTTCATGACAAGTGAGTGTGTGTGTGTGTTGAGTGTGAGGGGTATGGTACTATGAGCGGTGCTACGCGGTGCTAAGGGAGGGAGCATTCGCCTTCCACATACTTTGTCCTTTCTGGGAGAATTTTTGCCAATGAGAGAGAGTGGGACGACTTCATGACAAGTATGTAGGGGGGGGAGAGGCGGGGGGGTATGTTATGTTAAGGGCGTCGAGTGGTTGTATGCGGTGCTGAGGGAACACTCCCCCTCCACCTTCTTCGTCATTTCTGGGAAAAAAATTGCCAACGAGAGAGAGCGGGCTGACTTCATGACAAGTATGTAGGGATGGGAGGGGGGGAGGAGGTTGTGTTGCGGGCCTGGAGCAGTGCTATGCGGTGCTGTGGGAGCACTCACTCGCCCTCCGCTTACTTGGTCATCTCGGGCCGGATCTTTCAAAGAAAAGGAAAAGAAAAGAAAAGAAATCCTGTTCTGTTGTGCATGTGTGCAGGCGCACAGTACTCCAATGTGATCTTTGATGCACACTGCTACCGGGTGCATAACCATGCCGAGTTTGGCTCCCAGTCTGTGGACTTCAACCTATGTGTTTGTGTGTGCTTGTATGCGCTTGTGAACCTCTTGTGCCCATGCAGGTGCGCAGTACTCCAATGTGATATATGATGCACATTGGTACCAGGTGCACGATCATGCGGAGTTCGGCTCCCAGTCTGTGGACTTCAACCTGCAGTACCCCGCCAAGCAACGCGCTGCCGCCCTGCAGCTCCTGGAACGAGGCCAGCGGCTCGTCTTTGTGGGTGAGTGATGGGGGGGGGTAACATTGACAAACATATGTGTATATACACACATGCATATGTGTTATATTTACACACATAAAGTAACCAAGCTAGACTAATCAGCATAGCATGCATGTTCGTCAGAGCATACTGTGCCATGCCAAACCATACATTATCGTGTCAAACAACTCACCCCATCACACCACCCCAAACCACACACGACAGGAGAGTGGTCCCTGGCTTTGCTGTGCGACACAAGTGACGACATCAACTCTCGCTTTGCCAAAGCGCAGCTACAGGCGTACCTCGCTTCTTCTTCTGGTTCTTTCTTCTGGTCGCTAAAGCACGGGCAGGGATGGGATCCGTGGAGCTTCAAGGCGAGCGTGGAGCGTCGGTGGATGACCCCCGCACTCTGGCCCTGGTCCCGCTCCCCGTTGCTTGCATCCTTGGCTACAACTGCAGTTTCTCCAAGGAGGCGGTCTAATTTGCAAAATGGAGGGAAAAGAGAGGCACGTGACCGTGACGAGTTGTGACCTATATTGAATTTCTGTGGTGACACAATTTGGAATAGCTGTTGGACGTATTAAAGCCAACTCCCATATATGTTAGCATATATCCTTGCTTTGTGTGCGTATCGTAAATGAGTAAAAATATTTCTTAGTGCGTATCATAATTTGGAGTAGCTTTTGACGTATTAAAGCCAACTCCATATATGCTAGCAGATATCCTTGCTTTGTGTCCCATATATCGTATATCGTTGTTAGTAGTGTTCGATTCCTAAGCATCTTTTGCAAACGGCGAAGATCCAGTAGAGAATATCCCCCTCGAGGCTGGCGTCCTGGCTGACGAGCAGCCAAAAACGGAATCTTCCAGTTTCGCTGTGTTGCCATGGGCAGCGAGCCACAAAATTCCCAATCTCAGCCCACCCAACCAATCAGAATCTTTCAAGACTGCGGCCCCAGCCAAAGACATCTCCGGTCAGCACCTGGATTGGTCGGGCGTTCACCAGGGAGATCCGCTTTGCCGCCAAGCCGATGAATCTTTCGACAGCGTGGCACCTTCCGATGTTAGCCACCAACCAGACGCCTACGCCTACTCTCACGTCAGCTTTAGGAACTCCATGCTGACGTGTATCTGAAGCATCCATTTCCAGATGCCCTCCTTTTGCCTAGATGCACTCTTCCCTCCATCCTTGATGGATCAGGTGAAAGCTACAACGGTTGGAACAGGAAGCTAGGTGTAGAAGTCAGGGATCAGTAGCTTGCTTGGTTGCTAGTGGTCAGGAGTAGGCTCTTCACATCCCTGGCCATAGCAGAATCGACCTATCCTATCCATTCGCGGTCCTTCCGTTTGGCCAGTCTTTATGTTTGCTTGAGTTCTGCTTTCCACACGCCACGCTAGGTTATTTTAGAATTGCGACCGACTTGCCACCGACCTACGTGCGTAAGTCTTCGACCTAAGGCGTCTCTTTTTACCCTAAGCCACTTCCAGTCGCCAGCGTCTAATTTTACTACGTTGGCTCCTCAGTAGCTACTTCCGATGTCCGCCATGGCACTCGAAGCTTCCTGTCGTCAGAGTCTGCTCGCATTACCGGCAACCCTCTTTAGTCTGGATCATGCTCATCCACGAACTGCTTGTGATTCTCAAAAGCTCCTGTCAGGCTCGCAATTCCTAGGTCTCCAGCTATCTCAGGGCAGTTTGCGAGGGGAACGAGTTCGCGTTTCCGGCATTAGAATCACTCGTTCTAGAGGTGCTCCGAGTATTGGCCGTCGATGTGGAAGTAGATGGCTCCCTAGAGCGGCAGCTCAGCCTGGTCCTTTCTCAAGCCGGAATTCCTCCAAGCAATCTCAGCCTCCTCGGGATGTTAGCGCATCGGTTGGCGTCGCTCCTCGGAGCATCGCTGTTTCTCCTAACATTCCGTTGAATCAGGAGCTGCTTCAGCAGCAGAAACAGCAACAGCAACACCAGCAGCAGCAGCAGCTACACGAGACTCAGCAGCGGCTGGAGCAACGGCTTTCACGCGGGCCGGCGAAATCCCGGACCTTAACCGACCCAGCCGTTTCGGCCGCTCAGCGTCTCACGGAAAACTCTTCCCGGCTGCATGATCTCCTCCTGCAGCTCGCCACAGCCCAGACTCTCGACGAAAAGGATTCAATCGTCAGCGCGGACCCACGAGTGCGTGCGATCTTCCCTCAAATGGGAGATTCGTCCCTTGGGAAATACGTCAAGCCGGCCGTACGGATGGCCATGGAGGCGTGCAGCCGGGAGGAGGTCTACCTGCTAAAATGCCTCGTGGCGTCCGGGCAAGAGCATCTGCTGGACACTCCGATTGCCTGGGCAGAAGGCCTGGACGCGATCGGGGAGAGGGCAAATCACCAGTCGGAATTCTCGACTGAGGCGTACTTCATGAGTCAGAATGCGGATGGCAATGCTGGCAGCAGCGGCATTGAAAGCAGGAGCGATAAGTGTGAAGGGAGAGCGACGGGCGAAAGCAGCGCCAAGGCCAGATCAGGTGGAGGAGTCAAGGAGGCCTTTTCCATGCTCGCGTCCATGATCGACGGCTGGGATGCGCAGTTAGACGCCCCGCGGGCAGCTCTCCCTGTAATTTTGGCCGGGCTCGACAACCCTGGCGTGTTCCCTGCTCCGCTGATGGACCTGATCGACTGGGAGGACCGCCGATCGGCGCATAACGCGGGTGTTTCTGGAGGTAAGGGCCAGGAGGACGCGTCCCCGTTATCGTCGTCCTCGGTATCGTCGTCGCTGTTCGCGCAGTTCATGGAAGGGCTGGAGTACCCGAGCGTGTTCGGCGCTCCGCTGCTGGACCTGGTCGACTGGGAGAAGCAGTGGCAGATGGACGGCGATGCAAACTCTCTCAGTAGCAGCAGTGGCAGCAGCAGCAGCAGCAGCAGCAGCAGTGGATTTGTGAGCGACGGTGGTAGCAGCAGCAGCGGGTCGGAGGATAATGCTGGCTATTCGAGGGGGCGGGAGCCACGCGCGCAGCTGCAGACGCTTCTGGCGATGCTGCAGCGAGTGGAGAAGTTCTACGACGGCATTGGCGGCATTATCGGGTATGTTGACTCACTCTGACCGTTTAGGTCTAGCAGGGTAGGCTGAGGATGTGCTGAGCATGTGCTGAGGATGTGCTGAGCATGTGCTGAGCATGTGCTGAGCATGTGCCGAGCATGTGCTGAGGATGTGCTGAGGATGTGCTGAGGATGTGCTGAGGATGTGTTCTATGAGGCGTCTCAAATAGACTCAGACTCCTGCCGATGCTGCAGCGAGTGGAGTAGTTCCGCGATGGCATCGGCGGCATTATCGGGTACGCTGGCTCTTTGTTCTCCATCTGCAAAAGATGGGCTCATGTTCCATATGACCCACCTTCTGAGCCGTTGCATGTATGCGTTTTGCCCCTTTTGTGGCGCGCAGGTACCAGTCGACGTGTCTGGACCTCATTCAACAGTCCGTCGCTGCTTCCCAAGCAGCAGCAGCAGCAGCAGCAGCAGCAGCGGAACTGGCGTCAGCAGCACCTCAAGAAACCCCCTCACTTGCAGTAGCAGCAGCTCCACCAGCATCTCTGGTAACAGCAGACGACACGAGCAGCATCGCTAATGAAGGAGAGAACGAAGAACCCTGGTTCGAATCCCAGCGGCGGTTCTTTGTTCCCCGTGGCCAAGACCTGGCCAGTGATCCGGAGTTCGCCTCCCAGGCGGCGTTCTGGGGCTTGAGGTGAGCCTCGCGGGCAGCTCTCCCCTCCCTAGCGAATGAGAGGAAATGCGTCCGTTTTGAAAAGGGAATCATGCGATAGGGGTCTAGTTTGAGGCGCCTCAAAACTAGCGAATGAGAGGAAATGCATCCCCTTTGAAGAGGGAATCATGTTTTCCCGGTAACACAACAGAATGACCTGAGTCAACGCTTTCGTGGTTCCTCTCCTCTCCTCACACACACCCATCTTCTTGTTACAACAGGGGCTGCCTGCAATGGCTGAGATCTACCCTCTAGGAGGGCGGGAGATCGCTGGGCCTGGTGGACGAGGAAACGGGAGAGAGCCTGCCAGTGGCGATGCTGCCGTACTGCGGCCGCACGCTGCTGCACGGGCTGGTCAGAGACCTAGAGGTGAGCAAATACGTTGCCATTGCCCGTTAGCTCTTCCCCTCCAAGACCCCCTGCCATCACTCCCCTCCCCGTTCCTCGCATGCTTGCTTCCATCCATGCCAGGCGGGGGAGTATCTCCACCCGCGTGTGTTTGGCGAGCGCCCCGTGACCCCGGTAGCGACTGAGTAACCAGGAGAGGGAGCTGTCGGAACTGCTGAGGCTGCTCACAGCAACCCAGTTTTGAGGCGCGCAAAACTAGACTCCTATCACGCGGTTTTTATACCCCCGGTAGCGACTGAGTAATTAGGAGAGGGGAGCTGTAGGAACTGCTGAGGCTGCTCACAGCAACCCCATTTCTCGCGTGAGGAGTCTTTTTTTGAGGCGCCTAAAAAATGTAGGACCTGCTGAGGCTTACCACGGGTCACAACAACCCCATTTCTCGCGTCCTGGCCTCTCTCCACACCAGGCGCGGCGGGAGTATCTCCACTTGCGTGTGTTTGGCGAGCGCCCCGTGACCCCTGGTAGCGATTATGACCGGTGCTGCTGCCCTTGGAGGCGCCTCAGAAACACAACAAGCGACCTCAGAAGCGTAACAAGCCCATCCGTTCGTTATGCTCACATCCCCTTTGGTCCTATAATGCAGGCGCGGGAGTAAT